ATGGCAACACTGAAGCGCAACAACGTTTATGTAAACAAATAATTCTCATTTTGGTTGCGTAATGTTTACATGTGTTTTTTACTTCAAGAGTTGAACAATTTCTATTAATTGGAATTTATTTAATTGATTTTTATTACAGCCTCCATCCGAAATCTTAATACTTGTTAAACTGCAGCCAACGAAATGCATAACAAGACTTGAAACACAATGGCTCAGTGGGGCTTTAGTAAAGAAAGTTTATATTATTTATCTGTTGGTACTTAATGGTACCAAACTTCCTTTCTATTGTCTCTTCTAAGCCGAGTGTTTCTTTAATTGTGTCGACTGTCAAATCTTCGTACTGAATGTGTCTAGATATATGTTAACAAGATCCTATAAATGTGAGTAGTATTTTAATGTACATTTTATTTTTGCAATCCTTATATTAATTCTTTTATATTTCCTTTGGGTTTGTATGTAATTGGAGTAACTTGGTGAGATCATGGACATTTTGAACTACTCTACATTTTTTTCCAATCATACTCCTCTGAGTTTATCTATTTCTGACTGCATCCTAACACGCTCTAGCAACACCCTTTCAAGCGACTGAATGTGAAAGAATACGGTAGAATGTACTGATGAACAATGTTAACTTTAATATCAAAGCAAGTCCCTGAATTTAATTAGCAGAATAGAAATGCGAATGAATTTATTTCAAACTTGATGTTGAAATTTGAAATATTTAAATTTTTTATACAAAAACTGTCACATGCTAATTATTTTTGTTCTCTCTCTGTGTCCTCTGAAGGGAATTTCACTCATCTGAAAAAAAGTTTAGGCATATTTTCACTTTATGAGAGAAAAGAAAATTCTGAGCCTTATTTCTTGTTTACAATTTAAAAGCTGTAACCTGAAAGTTCTTTAATTTTTAAGAGGAGGTATGAAAGAATATATACTAATGTTAGTTTTTATTTGTAATGGAGCAGCACTATAAAATTTTTATATTTTTCTCGAAACTATTTTGAATTGTTCAGTGCTCCATTTATAAATGATATTGAAAATTCTATTATAAGTATAATAATTTATTGCTATGTTTAATATTTTTTTGTTATTCTTTTATGATATGTATAGTATTTTTTTATTAATCTTCAATGACTAAATTTTCTTTATTATACTTCAACTTCTAAAAAACAAGGTTTTTTAGTTTGCAACTTTAATAGTAGTCAGGTAAGTTTTTTTTTCCAAGAAAAGTTCCTTATGTTTGTTTTAGCCAAGTCAAAATGCAAATATAATACTAATATATCTTAAGTGATGTGTTTTCTTCAAAAAATCTATCTTATCTCATAAAAATGTAGAAATGTGTAACAGGGTGCGTAGCCAAATCTTTGAATCAAAAATAAGCACTTTTTTAAAAACTTTTCAAGCACTTTACAAAAATTTTCAAGCACTCAAAAAATTCATATTCAATCAATGATATTATTGAAAAACAAAAATTTTTTATGAACAGTTATAGCGTTAAAAAAAACCAAAAAGAAACGGGCGTAAATCGAAACAATCAGTACTTTCCCACATCACCGAGTGAATTCAACTTGACCCTGAACTCAGAACAAAAGTACCCGTACCCCCTACGTCAAAAAAAGTGTTAGAAGTAAAATAAAATTAACAAGTACAAAATTAAAATAAATGAAAGAGAAAAACATTTCATAAGGATCTGATATTCTTTATCTGAATTGGAGCACTCGGATTTCGGTTTCAAGTGTGTGCGCATGCTCAAGTCATAACGTGGGTATGACATGAAGTCTATGTGAATGATTACATAGCAAACTCCCCATTTTTTGTGAAATGCATGGGATCCACCAGATATCACTGAAGGGAAAGAAAAAAAATTTCGGAAAAAAAGCACTTTTTTAAAACGCCAGCTGAAAAAAGCACCTTTAAAAGCTTTTAAAAACGAAATCCCCCAAAAAGCACCTTTAAGTACTTTTTACAAACGCTACGCACCCTGT